GGTTTTACGTCACAGCAACACAGTATAGGTCATTTGGCGACGTTGCAGCTTTACTGGTGGAGGAAGACCTCAGGTGCCCTTCTGTGCATTATCTCAGGCACGAATGGGGTACCGGAGTATAGATTTGTTATCACTATAGCTATTTGTTTTAATTTCATAGAATTATTACATAAACTTTTGGGACAAACCTTGTACATTTTGTTTCCATCAAAATTTCAGCATGGAATGTAGTTGCACTTAAATGAAGATTCCAATTTACTTTTCTCTTTAATTTGGTTAGCATACATCTGTTAAGTACAGGAACGAGGGGAAGGTCATTGATAATGTTGTTATAACTTTTAGACTTTAGTCACTTTAGACACTTTTGTATATTTATATCAATGTATTTTAAACTATTTATGTATTATTGTGTATTTTTGTAAAATTTAATATACAGTATTTTCTTAATTTACATTTTTCATTAGAGGGGCACTAATTAGAACTAATTAGTAAATATTTAATATTAAAATCTAACATGGTTAATGGCAAAAGACATGTCTCACACCACGGATTTATATTACAATATAAATCCGTGCCATAACAGAGAGGGAAGGTGAAATAAAAACTCATGAATACATGTAATAACATATTAATAAAGTGATTTTATTAAATAAAAGACATAAGCACAATGTGTTTATCAAATGGCAATAGTTTTGATGCATGAATTCTGATTACACATATACAAGTTTTTTAAATTATTTACAATAGATAATAATCAAGAAAAAAGTATATATTTACAAAGTATAACCTAGAAATTGAAGAGCTCTATAAGTTAGTACATTCAAACAGTATTCAGAAACACAGACCTGCCTGGCCTAATACTAGTGGCCTTGGCCTTTAATTACATGTAGTGGCCTTGGCCTTAAACTAGTGGCCTTGACCTTTTGTGATAATCTTACAGCAATTTAATGTACACAATAACCTGATGTGAAAATGATTTCCATTTTCACATTAAAATAACAATACATGTACATATAAACACACTTAAATATTTATCAGTTTTGAAGGAAAACAAGTGCTACATACATGTCTACAAAATTTTACATGGAAGCTTATATCATAATTTATCTTTGACACACTCTATATTGGTTGAAAAGATGCTGTGGTTTTGAAGTCACCAACCATGACCTCTCTGCTATAAGGGCTGAATTACAACAATATTATATGTATACAAATACACTAATTGCATGACTCAAATACCATCATAGCCTTACACGTTAATAAACAAACAAAAATAGACATCTCAAAATATTAAACTGCCTTGCAAAACTGTATGCAAATAAAATATGCTTAAGCAACATTTTATACACACACAAAAACAACACACTTTTTGTAAATATCATACTACAAATATGGGCTTGGGACTCTATAATTTACTGATGCAGCAGTATTGAAGATGTATTTTTTATAAAAAACTGGAGATGTAGGTGGACACAGCACAAACCATCTCCCCACCCATTTTAGACAATGCTATATAAATGTGTTGTCAGTTTGCATTTCAAAGAGGTTTTTTCTCCTAATTTAATGTCAATGCTTCACCTGTATACAGTACAACAAAATGTCCAATGAAATTGATTACTCAGGTAAAAAACTATTGAGGGTATAATTATGTAACTGACATTTGTAAAAATCTTTTAACATTGACCGGTTTTTTCAATACAAGCTTAATATGAACCCAATCAGTTGCTCCAGACTGTAGAAAAGCTCAGAATTAAATACTTTCACCTCTACTATAACTTCTAAATTCTAAACTTTGTGTCTTTTTTTTTTTTTAATGTAATATGGTAAATTATTGTTTACATAAATCAGTAAAAAGAGCTACAATGTACTTTTCTGAAAATATAATAGTATAAGAGTAAGATAAATTTAAATACATATCATGGATGCCTGAATTCTTTCATTTCACTTTTATATTTGCTGCCAGTTAATTTGTACAAATTACATACCTTTGTTAGTACTTAACAATGCTCGTGTTTTTTTGTATCAGAAAAATGAAGCGGTCAACAGCAGTCCAGAAATGAAGACTGGCCTGACTCTATACTTGTGGCGAGGGTCCGATATGATTGCAACTAGCAGTAAGATTTAAGTTTTGGACATAGGAGTATTGACCTATATAGCTCAGTTGTGTAAATGGAAAAGTACTGGTAGATGAAGTTACAAGTTTTGAAAGATATATTCTTATTTATTTCTTCCCCCATCTCCAACACCCCAAATACTTCACACAATCAAAGTGCTTGCATGTCCACAGCATCAGTGTGATACAAATGTTTTACATGTTGTGTCCAATTTTGATTGTCCTTAGTGAAATCTTGATTTCAGTAAATCAAACTAAACAAGAGGGCCATAATGGCCCTATATCACTCATGTTACTATTAGGGCTTACATGTGGATGACAAAAAAAAACAAAAACAGAAAATAAATAACTATAAATGAATGGCAGGCATTAGTTAAAACTTTCCGTCAACTGATATCAAAGTTCAAATCAGCTTTAATAACATCAACTAGACAATGTTTATGTCAAATATAATTCCAGGACACTGGAAAGCTTTCACAGCTTCTGCCTAATCCCAAATGTATTGTGTAAATATTGTTCATCATAGTCTAAATATATCGAATAAAATATGTTTAAACCAAATATAATTATAAGCTCTAGACTCTAGAAGATTTTTTTTCACTTTTTTCTATTTACATATAAGGTAAACTAACTGGCCAAACTTTAGTTAAATTATAATTCGAACAACCCTTGTAGAGTCCAGAAGACAATGTTTCATGCCATATATCTAAGCTTTTGTATTTGCGGTTCCAGAAGAGATTTTTTAATGTTCTTACTATAAATGTTAATAAAAAACTGGCGGGATCAATTTAACGCCAATTACTTATATTGGAGCAAATTTAGTTGAGGTTCACTAGAAAATGCCAAATATCTAGGCTTAAGGCAGGGATAATTTTGACTTGAGGGCTATAATTTGAACAAAATTTAAAAACATCATCAAGATAGTGCTTCATGCCAAATATTTAAGCTCTAGCCATTGCTGTTTTAGAAGAAAAGATTTTTCAGTTTGCCACAGTGAAGGCTTCTGTATATCATGATATTCTTTGATCTTTTTTCCCCTTTTATTTCTTAAAAGCTTCATGCTAGGAACACTTCTGCTAAGTTGTAGTAGTATTGGCCTAGCTCTGTAGGAAGCTGTGTAGGAGGAGAAAATGTTTTGACGCCTGAAAGAGGAACACCTCACACAAACACAGGGCCATAGCAAAAACTCATCTTGCGCATAATGTGCTTAGGCAGGCTTTATTAAAAAATAATCTCCTTTCTTGCACTTAAAAAATTATGACCACTTGGTCTTGAAAATCAACCTGTACAAAAATAATATTTAAACATTCTCTGGACACCTAGCATAGCAAGAGATTAATTAAATATCAGTTATTTGACTAATTCTTCCAAAAATATATTGGTATGACCTCAACAAAGATTTCATAACATGATTACATACAAATAATTGAGAAGTTCTGGGTTTTTTCTTCTGATTGCTAACAATGAAAGCAAGTATGTCTATTACTGACCTATATGATTTGATATAAAACAGCATGGGTAAAAGATGGAAATTTTAAAAATCCTGAAAATTCTTAAATAAACAGTTTTTTCTATAGTTATCCATAGGAAATAGAAGGCTTTCAGGAGACTGAAAATCCTGAACTTCAGGAAAAATCCTGAATACTTTTACCCATGAAACAGTGACAATAAGAACAAAAGTGAATAGAAAAAAAAAATGTAATAAATAATGAAATGCTCTATCTAGATGGTTTTGTTTGCTTGTTTGCCATAGTACAAAGAGTTTTGATTGTGACAAGTGCTTAACCAATATATAATGTTTAACAAAGTTTTTCATATCTAGTACCTGTGTCTTAAAATAAAACATGGCAGTAAATTTATTGATATTTCTATACACATGGAAGCATTTTACAAAATAACAGAGACACATATCTCTATACAAAGGTTCTTAATCAAAACAATTTCGATTTCACAAAAAGGTGAATGTTTCAATTTTAATAAATTCTTTAAAATAAAAAAATTACAAAAACAATGATTTTGGGCTTATATTTTGTTTGATATTAAGCTTAACGAGTCTTTACTTTGTTAAATTGATTAGATTTATTCTCAGACAAATAAACATATATAACAAAGCAAACATGATGATTAATCTAAATGTGACCTTGACCTTTAACTGACCTTAACTGTCAAGGTCAAATATATGAAATTTGCATTTTAATTGTAAAATTATTTCAAACCAGCTGTGAACTAATATTTTGGTAAATAGCTTTTTTAAGTATTAACAATTACTTGGTTATTATGTATTTTATTAATCCAGACCCTGTCCACCTTCTAAACAAATGTGTGTAATAGATTTGTTCTGCTTTGAATCTGGATTAGTCCATTTGAATTTTTAGGGGATTTCAACAAAAACAAATACAACAACCCAGCAACTGATAGTACAGAGCCTGAACCTGACAGATATACAGGCTGGCCTGGCTTAATACTGGTGGCAAAGGCTAGTCAATTTTGACTCAAGCAGGTTTAAAAACATAATTATGCTAAATAAGTAAATATTCAAATTTCATTCTTAAATATACACCGACTCTAAAGAAACTGTTCAAGAACACACATTGTCAAGCAATTAAAATGTAATCATTGAAATTCATGAAAATTACTCAGCAAAAATTTATACAGCAAAATGAATATAAAGAATGTAACCCTTTGCCTGCTTGCAGCAACTGACATTTCCATGCAAGCAGTTCAGACCAATATCAGCCTGCACATCTGTGCCATCTGATCATGATCTGCCCAGTTTGCTATCCAGTTAACTTATATTTTGAAACTTTCACTATCAATGATGAATGGTTTTGTCAGTATTGAAAGACGGACAAGTCTGTGAAATATAGAGCATATTAAAGATCAAAGACATTTTTGTCTAGATGTCAGCCTTTTAACGTTGATAAAGAGTACTAAGGGTAGAGAAAACTGTTATCACAAGTGTTAACATAGGATGCTGTGTGTAATATTGAATCACTTTGTACATTTTCCTGCTATACACCAATACTGTATCATCATTTCCTCGTGCATGGCCAATCCAATCCTCCACATGCCGCTGATACAATAAAGTAAATAACAACCTGGAAATAGTTAATATAAAAATGGAATAACAACCTGAAAATAGTAAATTGAAAAATGGAATAACAACCTGGAAATAGTAAATTGAAAAATGGAATAACAACCTGGAAATAGTAAATTAATAATGGAGATGTATCAAAAACAGGAATAGGGTATGAAAAATATCAATAAAATTTCCTATATCCAATAGGAAATTGGATTTACAAAATTGAAACAAGGTATTAAAAATGCTCCTACTATCTTTAAAATGACAGAGTGTAGACCTTCTGTACAGTTGGTTTAAAAGCCAACTCTTATCTATTTAGAAGGCATAACTGCATGTACATTGTATAATAATTTGAGATTATTTATAAAAGTAAGTTTACAAGCCACAGGTTACTATTCAAATCAATATTTACATGTTGGAACTGACAAATCTTGGATCAATCTCAACTACAGGCAATATATATTGCTTAACCTCAATTAAAGACAATAAATACAGAATTTTATGTTGCAGAAGTTTTCTGAGGCTTTTTATTTTGTTATGAGCAGCATCAAAAATTTATATCAATTAAGTAAGATATCAATTTTCCAACACTGCGAGTAGCAAAATTCATGGCCTCAGAAAGCTACTACAGAATGAGTTTTGATATAAGTACACATGTGGTTATTTCAGAAACAGAAATGAGCCGCATCACGACAAAACCATTATAATGGGTTTGCGACCAGCATGGATCCAGACCAGCATGCACATCCGCGCAGTCTGATCAGGATCCATGCTGTTCGTTATCAGTTTCTTTATTTGTTATAGGGTCTGTAAGCGAACAGTATGGATCCTGATCAGACTGCGCGGATGTGCAGGCTGGTCTGGATCCATGCTGGTCACAAACCCATTATGTTGGTTTTGTCGTGACGCGGCTCAAATATACCTGAAATAAAATTCATGAATTACTCATGAATAAGTAATGTTTTCATTAGTTTTTGTTCCCTTTTTAAAATGCTATGTTATACACAGCTAAGATGAGAACAAATGAGAACATCAATGAATGTTACCTTATTTATCACTAACATAATACAGAATTTTTAATCCTTTGCATTATATTAGATCTTCGAGTTTTGCATGTATTTTAAGGGCGAAAATTTATAGGTATATACAATATGTGTAATAATCAACATAGTGATTATTTAGTACTGAAACATCTCATATCAACTTAAAAATATTCTAGCTTTATACTTACAATTATAACAACAGCAATTATAATGGTTATTTTTATATTTTTCCACCACAAAGAACGTGCCAAATTTCGGCTGGTTTTCTTAAAAGTGATAGCCTGAAATAAAAACAATTGTTTTAAGGAGAATTGTGCACTCTGCTGCTCTCAGTACATGACAATAGAATAAGAGCCTGGAGAATGTAGGAATTACTAGTAACAAATACGACAATTTCATTTAAATATCCTGTATATTGTAATTGAGATTGTAAACCACTCTTAAAGGGAGACACAGGCAAAATTTTCATTTCTTAGTTTTTCAGTCATTATTCTGTAAATGCCCTCAAAATGAATATATTAGACAGTCAAAGGAACAAAACTTTTATCCATATAAAGAATAAAATGGTGGTTTCCTAACTTGACCCGCGTGAGTCAGGTTAGAGCGCTAGGATTTTACAATAGTTGTCAAATTGAACTCTGGAAACGTTAAAGAACATGTCAAATGAATGACTTAAGACTTGTTTCAATCATACAATATCCATTAAATATGTTATTGTAACTTCAAAGGGTTTGTTCAAGTCATGTGACTTGTTTTAAAACTATTTGGCGATTCTAATCGGGTCTAGATTTTGTTCAACATATATAAATATATGTACGCTTCAAATCAAAAATATATTGAATTAAATAAGAAATTCATGCTGAAACTTCAAGAAATGTCATTTTAGCGTGATTTAAGTACATAAGATCATTTTAATATTTTTGTCATTATTTTGCCTGAATATCCCTTTAAGTGAATTTATATATATGTATATAATTATGCTTATAAAAACAATTTTCAAACATCAAAGAATATGTAATCATTAAAATATATACGTTTATTTCTTATTGAAAAATTTGACTTAAGTCTTTATAGAAATAAATTTTTTATTACCTCCCTTTATTTACATGAAATGTTAAATTTGGTAATATCTTTATAAATAATGTTTTTTTGAACTTACAAAATTGAATAATCTTAAATTAAGCATCATATTTATGATATAAAACCATAAAAAAATTTGTGTTACAGGATCTTTTAAGAACATGTTATGAGTCAAGTGGACACCAGTGGAAGATTGAAATTGCACGCAAAACTTTGACCAGACTTTTTTTCTTCTTCAGGGAACAAAGGGCCATGATTTTGTTAAAAATCGATGCTTAAGTAATGGGACTTGAAATTGACAGTTTCGTGTGATAACCTTCAGCATGCAAAAATGATAACCAGAACTTTAATATAAAAGGCTGCATTTTAATAAAAATCCATGCCAGAGTTATGGGTCTTGGAAAATGACCTTCAGTTATAATCCTGAACACATTTACTGAAGTATTAAGTTTTATATCAATGCAAAGAGCTTTGCCTGGTGCTAACCTTGTCGTAAAGATCAGTTACCACTAATAGTGAAATACAACCTTTAAAAAAAAAAAAAAAACTGCGCCAACTATACCACTATGTCCCTACTTAGGTTTATTCCATCTTGAGTTACTGATGGGACAAGCAAAAAGTGACATACATTAATACGGACATCTTAGACTGACCCAATTGTTGTATGCTCTCAATTTTAAAGTTGAAGGGGGGGCATATAGGACAGACCTTTGTACATGACAACCTTTGATGCCTGACAAACCTCCTATAACGATAAGAGCTTGGTAAACATCATTACTGCTATATACCAGGAAAACAAGTTATCTGTAGCAGTTTCTATACCAATACAAACCAATTTTCATCTATAAGCACTTCTCTAATTTTCCACATGATTAATTTTGATAAAGTTGTAGTATTTTAAACCATTTTCTCACAAAACAACATGACCTACAATCCAGTTATTCTAAGACCTGTACACTTTACACTCTACTGAGCTTACCTGACAGGCTTTCTTCTTAAGCAAAGGTTTAACGATTTACAAGTAATCACTTACATTGGCACTTAGATCTTCTGATTTGTCCACCAACAATTCTAATCTTTCACCTCTATCTGCTATCTGATCTGATTGAGGGAAAAATTATACAAAGATATTAATAACTCATGTCAAAACAAACAAGAGCTGTCCGTAAGACAGTGTTCTTGGCTATTCTCAGCACTTTACAGTAAGAAAAGAGGCATGACTTTGTGTAAATACGTATCTTAGGGTTATGGGTCCTATGCCCATCATGTTAGATAATCACAGAGAACAAGTGTGTGAAGTTTCAACCCATTCCCTTCAAAAGTTTGAGAGAGACAAAAACTTTAACCAAAGTGTGACAACCACCCTGACACCAGGGTGAAAACATTCAAAACAATAGCATTCTATTCTAAAAAAAGTGGAGCTAAAAATGTATTTTCTGTCCTGGTTTCAGACCAATCAAATACCTGATCTCTGAGTTTTAGTTAAGGAAGGTTTTTTGTGTCTCGGACGTTGATTTTACAGTATAAACTTACTCTGTTTTGAATTCCCAAAAACCAAATAATGACAATGAGTAACTTACAATATCAAGTTTGATCTGGCTCTATACATGTGGCCGAGACAATCAACATTGCTTCTAGCTCCAGCTCTCATAGAGTTAACAACACTCCTGTTTTATTATACTACATACAAAATGTATTTGTATCGTCCCTTTTCATTGGATAAACGTGAAGTTTATAAACTAAATATACAGCTGCAGTCAATTTAGTAATTAATTTAATTTTGTCCTAAAATAAAGGAATTTTGCTGTAGTATAAATTTGTTTTACAGATTCTTGACAGGTAATATAGTCATTTTTCAATATAACTGTTGCCTAGCAGCTTGGGTTATATATACAAACCATCTTTTATATAGGGCCATATAACCTGCTTAAATAATTGAATGTATACAAAAATTGGCTTCAAGACTGCATGGTTAGTAGACGATTAAAACACCAAGCTGCTGACTGTTATAATGTATGCTAAATTAACTAACGACGTCCTCAAACTTGAAGAATAAATATCTACCTATATTTCTGACCATGATTCCTTTCAATTCTTCCACTTGACCTTTGGCATTTTCCAATTTGTCTGATGATTTGTTAATATCGGAGGAAACTCTCTGTAAAGAAGTAAATCATCTAACATGTTAACATCATAAATATATCAAAGAACATGTAATCAAGCAATGCTCTTTTTTTCCTTTTATCAAAGCCTATCAATTTAATTATGCACTTAATAATTTCAACCAGATTCAAACCCTAGCTTATTCAAATGGATTTTTTTTTTTTGAACTGTCCATTATCAATTTTGGGGATATCAAGATGCAAACTAGAGAATAATAAAAACTGGTAAGACTGCATGTAAGTGCAGGCTGGTCTGGCTCTATACAGGTGGTGTACGCTTATTATTTTTAGTTCCAACAGGATTAATAATATCTGTCATATGTTTGCGGTTCATATCAAAATATCCGTCCATGGGGCCACAGGCGGGTCCCCGAGGGATGGATATTCCTATATGAACCGCAAACATATGTCGGATATTTTTTCTTGCATATTCTACTATATTCAATCGTATTTTAGATTCTTTACATCAATAAAACAATTTTCCACGTAAATTTATGTCATTACACCTGTTACAATTTGCTTACAACAGTGTGTGAAATTACAACTTCATTCATAATGGTGAAATTACGTCATTCTTAGCGTGATATTGTATAGTATGTGACTTATCTGGCACATTCTACGCCAGATGAAAGTTCCTGCATGGGTAAAACTAACTGAAACACCAGTCTGATATGCAAGAAAATTGTAATATATACCATCTTGACTTGATGGAAAAAAATATATCAAAAAATTAAAGTGGAAAAAATTTCATATATTATGATGTAATTAAACACCAAGGCAACAAAAAAGGCATTCAAAGATCAATTATGAAACAATATGGTAATGAACACACGTGTGAACTTAAGTTATTAGTATGTGGTTTATTTTTGTTTGGATAATGGCGCATCATCACAATTTAGGTCAAACAGCAGGCCTCGACATTAGCGGTGGTCCGTTGGTCCGAGACCACCTGATTTTGGCAAGGACCACCTAATTTTAAAATGCACTGGTCCATCGGACCACTTGAATTTTCTTGTTTGTGCAAGGTTCATTTGGGAGAATGACGATTTGGTCAAAAATGTTATATACATTTTGTTTAAAACCATTTGTCATATGAACATGTATAATTATGGTTCATTAATAGATTAATCTGATTAGAAGGTCTTAAATCATCAATAACTTTCATTTTAAATCGCTAAAATTTTGTCGTTGCAAGTTAAAAGTGTAAAGCTACGGTCTCACTTACGGCAGAGCCCAGGACCATCCCGGTAAGTTACCGGGACGATCCGGGGTGAAATTATTGTTGCGGTCACACTTGGCCCGGCAGCACTACGGTAGTTCCCAACTAACAACCCATGATGCGCTCCGGATCATCCAGGCAGAGCCCAGGTGAAGCTACGGTTCATGCCGGTGCTTCCACGGTCGTACCAGGATGACGCCAGAAGAGCCCTGGTTGACCCAGGCAGAGCCCCGGTCGATCCAGGCAGAGAACCCCGGTAGATTAAAAACTCCCGAAAATGATAACATTGATACATAATTTTTATTTAATATAATATCTATTGTTCCAGAATAGTAATTCATGATGACTTTCTGAAAAATCCGTATGCCATACTTGATAGAAGGGAAATGGGTAGGGCTTTAATACAAACAAATGCAATCATCGCAAATTGTCGTTATTTTTTTTTAAATGATCCGGGCTTTGCCGGGGCTCTACCGGGATCAACCGTAGCTCTACCTTTATCCTCCGGGGCTCTGCCTGTAGTCACCGGGGCTCTGTTGGCATATACCGGGGCTATACCGTAGCTCTACCGGCTATATCATACCCCGGATCATCCCGGACCAGCCCGGTGATATTAAATATTTTATTCCATCTGGGGTCGAATGCCGGATGTTCCCGGATCATCCCGGCAGAGTTACGGATGTACTCCGGTTGTTCCCGGTCGTTCCCGGATCATCCCGGTAGACAATTCCCGGATCATCCCGGACGTCTACCAGGGCTCTGCCGGGATGTAAGTGAGACTGTAGCTTTAAGAATTTGTGATATTAAGCTAGGTACAAATTGCATTCAAATTATGCTAGTAATGATGCATCGTCTGATTACCACGGTGGAACCTTTAACATTTATGTTATGTTACATGTTAATCACACATGGGTATCCGACGATGGTAATTATGATATTGTATGGGATACCATATGAACTTTAAATTTCATATACATGAATAATGGCAGCAAACTAAAGGAACTGGAAAAAATACATCTAGTAATTCTTTGCATAAGTTATCTTCACGATAAGAGATCCATTTCTTCCAGAGTTAAAATTTCTTTTTTTTTTAAATAAAAGGTTAAAAATACTCATTGTAAAAAAAAAACATCAACCAACAAGCAACAAGGCGGTAAAAATTCTGTACTCATAATAAAACTGTGAGAAAAATAAGCTAAACTATAGTGATATATAAAGTTGTTTTTATTTTTTATCCTTTAGATGTTTCCTTGTTTTAAGATAATTGATTAGTTTTTATTAAAAATGTTAATCTATAAAAGATACATGTAATTATCATGATTATAAGACATACCACGTATCAGCAATACATATTTGAATAACAGTAAGAAAAAACCCAGACACAAATGGTTTCACTATTCCCTAACTTGAGTTGAGGGAGAAATCACTTCAATATAAAAGTTAACACAAATAAGAGCCCTGTTGTGTATTTTTGAATGAGCTATGAAAAATAACTTCACGACAGAATACCTACTAAAGAATACCTACTAACTTGCTCTCCTTAATTTATGATTAGATAAAAATATTGTATCTAAAATGTCTGTTTTCTTTAAAGGTTAATCATACATCTTTGTCATTAATTTTAAGCATACCTTTTTCTAAACTTGCAGTAAACTGATATAATAATAATTGACCACTTGACTTCTGGAAGGACCACCTTAATTTCAAATCTAGTGGTCCGGCTTACCACCTGATAAAAAAGTTAATGTCGAGGCCTGAACAGTATGAGGTATCGTAAGGTAAATAGAAATGGAAAATAAGACAGATACTTCTGAAGAAAATACGACAAGGTGTGATCCAAAGGCCACTTAATTGTAACATTAAGTTGTCTTAATTTGCAATAGATACAGGTAAAATGTACAAGCTGTCTTGACTACGAAAATGGCTTATAAACAGATATCCATTAAAAGGTGTAAATAAAAACATTACAATATTTACCATTTGTGTGGCCATTACTCTGCTGAACTCACTGTTCATTGCATAAGGTAATGCTGTCTGTGCCCTCACACCATACTGCATCTGGAATCTAAATTTTCAAAAAAATATTCTAATCTTACTTTTTTTCTCTTTACTAATATGACATTTCATTAAGTTGTGTTAATAAAAGTGTTAAATATTCAACAAATGTATACAAAAATAAAAACTGTTGATAGGATTCAACTTCTCTCACTGCTTGATAGCAAAACAAGAGCCCTGGATTATGAAGAATTTTCTAGGTTTAAAAAGGGCCATAATTCTGTCAAAATCCATGTTAGAGTTATATGCCTTTGACAGTGATCTCCAATGCTGTCAAATAAGTGTATACAGTTTCAACCAATTTCCTCTGGTAGCTTTGGAGATACCAACTTGCACATAAAAACTAAACCAACATGTGATGCCGACATCTGTGTGGGTACAATAGCTCTCCGTTTTCTTAGAATAGTCGAGCTAAAAAATTAAAATAAATTACTTGTGCGGTCTACCATACATCATTCTAAGTATATCTTGATGGCGATAAACAGAGATATTTCATTGAAAAGAGTGAAAGAAACTTACTTCCTCTTAATTTCTGTCAGGAATGTAAATGCCTTTGCCCTTTCATAATCCTGCAAGAAAAACATAAACAATAAAATACACATATAAATACAATAGACAAAATGTGTGTAACACTTATTCATTGTAACAGTTTACCATGGTGGGTTATCAAGTGACATTTGAGTAATATGCTCATCACTAATGATTATGCCAATGTATGTACCAATGGAATCTGCAAATATTTTTCTCCAACATGGTATATGTTGTTTATTCTTAATTATAATGAAAGATAAAACAAAAATATAGCTAAAATAATCTTGCAAGTTATGGGGGCAGCCATTAGCGGTGACCTTATGTTATTGTAAACAAATGTCATGAAATCAGGGATTTCATGTAAACCCTAAAAGATTTAGAGATTTCACATAGACTCTATACAAGTTTTACTGTATAATCCTATATGAATATCATTTAAACGCTTTAATCATCATCTGATAACTTATATGAAGTTTTATTAAAAAACAACCAAAAAAAACAACAACATAAAATGTTAATAAGGGATGCTCTATGCTACAAAACTTAATGCAAACAAATGTTTAAGTGTATGCAGTAGTTATACAGCACATGTAAAAATCATATGACATGGACATCTCACATGTGATATGCAAGGAGTTATGTTATCAAATGACACTGTAGGGATCATAGGTTTGAGCCCTACTTGGGTCATAAACATGATTTCACACCAGCACTGGTTAATGCTAGGAAGCAGATACAAATAAGCTACTGATTTTCATTATATAAATACATTGTAATGTTTGAACATATTGCATAAAACTTTAAAATTCTCTTAAAGATGCAAATTATACAAAATCTACTTACATCATCTGTTATACAAAGGTAAACAATTCGGTCCTCGCAGATATAATGAAATAAATAACTGAAAAGAAAGGAAAATACAAATTGTTGTCGGTATTCAGCTTCTTTCTGTATATATTTTCTAATCAACACGTCATGTTTGACATCGACATGGTGACAATGGTGATAAAGAACAACTCTCAACATAAGTGTCCAACTTTATTTGTCATCCAATGAAAACGCTGTATTTCTTCAAAATTCTGTGTGTTAATTTTCATAGAAGTACAAAAGTCAAAACTATATCGAATTCAGTCCATTGTCGACTTCTATTTTTCATAGTACTTCATAAAACTGTATAGTGGCGTAATAAAGTGAATGATAATGAGGCCAAATAAAGCTTGACACTAAATATGTTAGTATTCATCCGTGCTGTTCTACAGAAATTAGAAACATTCTCCTGTCGCTATCGCAACCGTCGAAGTTTCTAATTTCTGTAGAACATCACGGGTGAACACTAACATATACTTAATGTTGATTTATAAACATTTAAAAGAAGGTAAGCATAAAACTTTCACTTGAAATGTCTGATTAAGACAATAACATTAATATTGAAAATTTTGAACCAGTCTTATGAACACAGCAATACATGATATAAAACACATATCCAACTGTAAATCCTTTCTGTGAACAAAAAGATTGACTGAAAAATCAGAAAAAAAGAAATACATGTAGTTACTTTTAGCAAAGATTACTAATGTAACAGGAAAATAAAATCTAAATTACATTCTAAATAAAGTCAAAAGGAGAGATATGGTAAAACTTGAAAAATAAGGGTCAGAGTAATGAGGTGCCTCAAAGGTCAAGCATAAGTGGTTAAGGTCATTGACTTCTAAGCACTCCTTGATGTTGTGAGTTTGGATCATGCAAAGTATTTGGATTCTTCCATTTGTGGAAGATTATCCAGATGGCTTACAGAAGGTCGTGATTTTATTTGGGGGCATATTTGTGCCTGAAAGAATGCACAGTCAGGCACAGACAACTAAAGATAATCACCTTTAAACTGTCACCAAAACATCATCAGACCAAAGTTACCTTGTCATATAAAGAGGCTGGAAAATGAAGCTGGGACTAGTAGTTGGTAAAACATAACTATTGTACTCCCGAACAAACACTTAAATCTTAAAAAAATATATTCAGCAGCAATTACCTATATTAAAACAATTAATATATTATAATTTATGACAGTTATTCTAGGAAACTGCTGATTACCTTCCATGTGAGTATGTAAGCTTGGAATTATCAGGTGGTATTTTTGCAAGAATTTGTTCCGTTACTTCCGTGAAGTTTCCTGCACAACTGGCATATTTAGCCAGGACTGTTGTTCCCCGTGCCACAGTACAAAAAAGGATAGGCATCCTGTAAAAATAGTTAGTATGTCTTCAGACAGATAAAGTTTACACGTGACTTCAAGTGCATAATAAAAAAAAAAAACATGGTACTATAAACCATAGGCATAGATAATATCTTCACAGGACTTAAATTATCTTTCAGTATGAACAGTTCATTATTGTCATTCCATTTCTAAAACAGCGACAGGGTAACAGCAGTGAGCACTTGAAAAAAATTGAAAGGTAAAAAGAAAGAATCTTTTTGATGTTTCTCACACAGAACATTTAAAGGCCATTTTTTTTACCTTTTGGTATATTGATCTTTTTAAAAAAAAAAGGTAGGGTCGAGGCGGGAAAAAAGAAGAAAAAAATTCATATCTTTAATGTCTTAAAGGTGAGATGCTAGTTATTATAATCCTTTCTCTTATGATTAGACCATCCCGATTCTGATAAATGTGATGCGCACATTGAAATGACTGATTGCCTAAATTCAACAGTGCTTATAAATACAAAAAACATTGTTCACATGTGTGAATCCACAAATAAATAAGATAGCATGTTGCCATTATTCAACAACACACATGAAATCTACACACAAGATGACCTCTCTGACCCTTCAAAAGAATAAGTCAATCTTTGATGTTCACACACATGTAGTTCCAGTTGTTTAATCAAAAAACATCAAATGTACCGAAATTCAACTGACTTGCATTAATGTATTTACAGAACAGTAGATAAAAATATATCAAGTAAAATATTACGTGTTTAATTATTACCGAAATTGAAAAATATTTCTTGGATAATTAGCGGTTCAATTATTTACACATATAAATCATTAATCGTAAGTGCATTTTTTTTATTTTGTTTGAAAGGAAACACTTATTCAATCTCCTATTTAAGACAATTTTTAGTTGTTTTCTTTAGCATTTTAATGCAAATGAACCTTCAAAACATGATTTTATACATACATCTACATACCTGAAATGAATTTTAATGTTACGGGGAAGTCAAAGACCGGGCCCGCGAAGCGGGTCCCAGGGCTTTGGCTTGCCCGGCTATAGACTACACGTGTATATTTAAAAGAAAATCAAATACAAATTTTTTTAAAAATATGTGGAATTCTATACCTATCAATGAAATTTTCAGTGTCAGTTCTAGTCGGGCGCCGCCATTTACAATGTCACTCAATGATAAAAGGCGGGGTATTCCGATAACGGAACAAATCTCAACTTTTCCGATAAATAATAAACGTCAAGTGTTCCGAGTGAAAACGGAAGCGGTGCATGTAATACCCAATGACAATTTTAAAACGGAAAGAATGTAAGGAATTTTTTAACGACTTCCCCGTTCATAGGCTTTGCCTAATTTCATATTATATAGATACTTGTAAGAATGGTTTGACTCATTTTACAGCTTTTTTTTTCATGTTACATGCAAAATACATCGCCGTAAAAATTATCTCAATGTTTCTTTGAAAAATTTTAAACCAGACATCATTTTTAAATTGATCAGGATAATCATACATTGTAATTTTGAAAGAGGTAAAATGGGAGTAGGTCCTAGCTAAGTCATGTAAGTGACTGTCCAAACCTAGTCACTTGGCTATATTTGATATAAAGTGGTTGTCAGATTAAAAATAAAGTTTCTCAATCATAGATTGTATATAAACTTCATAAACTATACAGTACACATCAAAGTCATTGTCAAACCTGTTAATTTAAATGGCTTTCTTCCTACTTTCACTATTTGACAGCCTCTGTTTACTTGGGAAATGACATCACTAACACATGACTGACTGGTTTAATAAATGAGATTAAGAACCGCAAATTCATAAAGAGTAAACTAAATTAAAGTAACCATTCTATACGACAAGCTTTTTCGTACACAGACTAAATTTGCGCAACGTGAAAATATGTCATCTAACATCCAAAATAGTGGGTCCAAACAAAAAGTTTTAGAACCAGAGAAAGATAAAATGAAAATATATGTGGTATGATTCTCAACTTTTCTAAATAACTAGACGTATGTTAACATTATCTGTATAAATGTGAGAGTGGTTTTCGTGATATTGATCTTGATTAATAGGTGCTTGGTTATCGATGTTAGTGCGTACTCCAGTCAGCTCGTACCCAAAAAGTTTCTGACGATTTATACAGTGTTATAGACAAATTAAACTTAACATGTCACTTTTTTTTTGATGTAGCTAAAAAGACTTCAGCGAACAGGTTTTATAGCTCTGTTAGACCTGTTACAGTTGCACAGCGTCAAAATAAAAGCGACAAAGTTATGGAAGCAAGAACTAATTTTGATGTGCAACAGTGACGTTGTGGGTCAACCCTTTTTGCGAAAACTACCTGAATTTTGGCTGTTTGTGTACCATACATAAAAGCCTATTCAAAACAAACAAATAATTCATTAATCATCACTCAAAACAATATAAATCCGACAAGTTTTTGGTACAATGTCTGTTATTGAATAAATACACTGCTATTTATAATTGCAAAGTGATGTTTTCAATTAAAAATAGCATTTGGGTCATGTGTCACAAAATGTCATGCAAAGGTATCCAAACCTAAATTCTCGCTAGTCACGTGATAATATAAAGGGCAGCAATTGGGGCAAATTTTATGAAATACGAACCCACTGATAAACTTTGAGGTCTAGCAGTACTATAAAACCTGTTTGCTGAAGTCTCTTTAGCTAGGTCACAATATATTGTGGCAGTCATATTTGGTTTTATCTCATATATCGGACTATTTTTATGTTGGACTGTCTGCAGCTGCCTTTTAATGACAACCCTAACTTAAGTTTAGTTCTACTTAAATTATTTCTTGTATATATGTACATGTAGTTACTAGTAATTAGACAAAATATAGTGACATGCCAAAGCCAGATTCTGAGATATTTTTCATTCTGGGTCAGAATCTCGGTTTTAAAGAAGGTGATAACCTATTGGTTGTTGTCAGATTCTAATGTATAACGTTATTTAGAAGCTGATTTTAATCAGATTGGGCAAATAAGTTGTCTGAAAATAACAAAAATACTTCTTCAAAACAGTTGTGAAACTGCTATGTAGTTAGTAAAGCGAGATTCTGCCCCAGAACGAAAATATCTCGGAATCAATCAATATATTTTGACCATGCATAATGCTAGCTTTTTATAGAGAATACCATGCTAGTACATGTATCTGATGTTACAAAATTATTAGGCAAATTGATCAGTTTAATATTTCAAACTTTTAAGAGTTAAAATTTATAAATATTTCATTATTTTTATTTTATTACATTGTATATGGATTAGGTGTATGATAAAGCTGAAGGCAACTGATAATGCTAAATTTATTAGACATACACTTTATCAACAGTTATCAACATAATGACATGATATAATGTCTATTGTAAATATTAATGAGCCACGTCATGACAAAACCAACATAGTGCGTTTGCGACCAGCATGGATTAAGATCAGCCTGCGCATCCGGTCAGTCTGATCAAGATCAATGCTGTTTGCTATCTGAGTTTCTCTACTTGTTATAGGGTTTGTAAGCGACCAGCATGGATCCTGATCAGACTGCACTGATGCGCAGGCTGGTCTGGATCCACGCTGGACGCAAAAGCGCTATGTTGGTTTTGTCGTGATGCGGCTCAATTTTATTTTTTGAAAGATGCCTACTGAGGGAGCAGAGGAGGATGAAACATGTCAGACTTTTGTTCTGAACAACGAAGATCACACACTCGGAAATTCCTTGAGATACATGATCATGAAAAAGTAAAATGACTTTTTTTTTATTCATTCCTCATTTTGTATCTTGTGTTTCTATTTCATGTCTACATGTAATTAGTGTGACAGGGCGAGAAAAACTTGCAGCCTGACCAGGACTGGAACCCGGGACCCTCCAAATACCGTATCAAGGCTCTATCGACTGAGAAATCTGGCCGCTAACACATCTTCTCCCCTAAATAGTGAACAGTGACATACTCCAGTGCTATGTTGAAATTCGTCCTGGAATTTCACTGAGTTATAGAGCTATCCGGCAGCTTACACATCTACTCCCATTAATAGTGAACAGTTTTGAACCATGACATTAGTTTTAACTGTTTTGACCGTTACAAATTTTAAGCAAAACTTTATTGCAACTAATTGACAGTTTGTCCTTTACCTCTTTTTAATTTTGATAAGTTTGGTTATCTACCATACCTTTTTCCAGCTCATAAAACATTCAGGTATCCCCAAAAGCTTTATTTGAATATAGTTCTATATAGCCATTAGGAATTATTGAACACTTAAAGACTGTTTAGGGGTGTCCATGGCTGAGTAGTTTCTGTTTGTTCGAATCCTACCAGAGACTTTGTATTCTTTAATGTGAGGAACCTATCCAGATTTGAGTTAATATGCTATCTTGCAGAATGCTGGTGGTCAAACTCTGGTGCCTGTATGTGTCTGAAATTTGCATACAATGGCACATGAGATATTCCCCCACTAGAGAAGTTGGAAAGTTGCCATATTACCTTTAAATTTGCGATTGTGTGTTCAACAAAAAGCGAAAACAAAAGATGACTGTGACATGTTAGATTTAATGCCAAAGTGTTCATTTCAGCTTGTCTTTGATTATTATTTTATATTAGTATCAGACACATTCATAGGGTTCTTGATGTAGAATCACCCACAAGATCCTATCAAATCAAATAAATAAAGTTATATTTATCCATAGAATATTAATATAGATTAATATGAAATTTTTAATATGCAATAAATCACTATGGAAACTATCATCATCATCAACTATCTTCTTTGGCCTTTGGGTGCAGATTGTGTAAGGTGCAGAATTTGTCAGGCTAATTGAAACCTATTCATATTCAAAGATGGTTGATATAGTTCTACCAATATCCCTGCTTGTGCCTGAAAAAAAATGCAAAAGGGATACCCGTTGGTCTTTGTCTATTTGTACGGCAAAACATTATCAGTCTTAGTTTATTGAAAGACAAGAAAAGTGTTTGAAAGTATTTTGATGTAGGTGAATAATACAATAAATTATTAATAATTTATTTCCAGCCCAGATACACAGTTTTGTGGGTACAGTATCCCTCATCCATCTGAGGAAAAGATTAATTTTAGAATACAAACATATGGTAATGTACAATTTTACATTGATAATAATATGATGGGTTTTTTTTGTGTACCAATTTAAATAGCAACAGTTGCCAAATATAATTACAATGTAATTAACAAAAAAAATTGATTACATAAAATGTTTGAGGATATATTAAAAAAAATTTATTATTTTTTTGGCGATTTAGCTGTGTATTTTTTTTTTTTTTATAAATAGAAACATTTTATGTACATGTGTAAAGATATTTCTTTATTTTACTTCAGGAAAGCCATCAATAGATGTTTTAAGAAAAGGACTTAAGGATCTAAACACTGTATGTGAACATGTGCTAAGAACATTTGAGGTAAGTTTACACACTCGTGTTTGTAAAACTTAATTTTCTTAAGGGCATATAAATGTACAATTTAACTTAAAAGAGTAGATGATGATGTCCCTCATTCAGTGAGAATTACTTGTATTCTAGACTGCATTGTCACAATGTTTAATAATATATTGATCAGAAGTAATATTGACTGACCTGAAGTGGTGAGAGAAAACTTCAGTCTGTCCTTGAAAGACTTTTTCCCAGTTCTGTCTTATTTTATTCTTACTTTATTTTTAACAAGACATTGAGGATATTGTATGGGTGTTAGTTCAATATTGAATTTATTGAACAAGTTTAACTAAATTACAATATGCAAGCCTTTGGCAATCATAATATATTTTAATTCAACAAGTTCAATAAATTCAGTATTGAACCTACACAAATATAATCACATCATGATTATATGCATGTCTGTGCCATACCATTTTTAAGTAGTCACAAAAGAATATATTAAGTGATCATAATTTAAAATACTTCATATCTAGCATAAAGCATAACAACAACAATTCTGTAAAGGATATAAAATATGAAAATAGCCAATTCAGTGTAAAGGAACTGCTACTCAGCTATAAAAAATACTGGAATTAATTCCCTTCTTGTAGGGTTTTCGTCATGTATATTTATCACCCAAACTTTAGATTGATATGAAACTTGAATTATCAAAAGAAGTTGTGATATAAATACTTATATGTCTTCCCATTTAATAGTGTTGTAGAGTACAATGCAGGGGAAAAAATTGGTCTTTTCTTAAAAGAACCTATCATATTTTTACCTGATGGGATGAATTAGTGTGGTGGTGGTGGTGTTGGTAGTTTTCACTCTGGATCATGGTAGAAAGCCACATTAAATTTACTCAAGCACAGTTCAGCCACCTCATCTTTCCTGAGCATGATATCAAGCAGTTTACCAGTACTAGTTGCCTTCACTTCCGCAAGGAACTGATTAACTTCTGTGTATACCAGAGCAGAGGTACAGTGCGAATGACTGTATAAATTATTTCATAATCACTCCCAACAAAAGTGACCTGCGTTGTACGGGAATCGAACCCGGTTGCCTGATTCACAGTCCAACACACTACCTATTGAGCTATCCAGACTGCTTATGAACTAGTATTGTACTATATTAGAGCCATTAAATAATGTTTTAACCTTTTTCAGACTAGCATTAATGAACACAAAAGGAGAAACCAGTCGGATATTGAAGCTATGGACCAGTCAACCGGATGATCAGAACCCGTAAACCAGTCTAATAAAGGTTCCAGTCTACCAGAATATAAAAAAGGAACATTGAATTGAAAATGTGACCAGTCTTTGAAAAGAACACTTCCTGTCATTACAGGGGAAATGAGGAATTGCCTGATTTAAAAAAAAAACAGTTCTAAACTTCACACAGATGAATCTTGAATGTAAATGATAATAATCCATGCAGAGCATGTTGGTTAATCTGCATGACATCTTTATTATCATTGACTTAATGCTATATTCAAGTGTTGAGCCATTTTTAGCTCGACTTTTCTATGAAAAGGGGAGCTATCCTACTCGCGTCGGCGTCGGCGTTAGCGTTAGCGTTGGCGTCACACCTTGGTTAAGTTTTTCGTACCACCCCACTTTATTTCAGAAGTATTACAAGTATGGCTTTGAAACTTACCATACTTGTTCACCATCATAACCTCCATCTACAGACAAGAGTACATAACTCTGTCAAGGTTTTTGACAGAATTATGGCCCTTTTTTGACTTAGAAAGTGTATTGAGCTTGGTTAAGTTTTTTGTACCACCTCACTTTATTTCAAAACCATTGGAGGTATTGCTTTGAAACTGACCATACTTGTTTACCATCACGACCTTCATCAACAGACAAGAGGACATAACTCTGTCAAGGTTTTTGACAGAATTATGCCCCTTTTTGACTTAGAAAATACATTGAATATGGGTAAAATCCACTTATTGCCTTAACCCTTTGAGATATTGCTTTGAAACTTTTAATGCTATTTCACATCATTACCCCCATCTGTACGCAAGAGAAGGTAACTCTGTCAAGGATTTGTTTTAAAAATTAAGGCCTTTTATCGACTTAGAATCTTGGTTAAGTTTTTTGTACCACCTCACTTTATTTCAAAACCATTGGAGGTATTGCTTTGAAACTGACCATACTTGTTTACCATCACGACCTTCATCAACAGACAAGAGGACATAACTCTGTCAAGGTTTTTGACAGAATTATGCCCCTTTTTGACTTAGAAAATACATTGAATATGGGTAAAATCCACTTATTGCCTTAACCCTTTGAGATATTGCTTTGAAACTTTTAATGCTATTTCACATCATTACCCCCATCTGTACGCAAGAGAAGGTAACTCTGTCAAGGATTTGTTTTAAAAATTAAGGCCTTTTATCGACTTAGAATCTTGGTTAAGTTTTTAGTACCAGTCCACTTTTTGACTGAACTGTTTGAGATATTAATTTGAAAGTTGGAATACTTGTTTACAATCATGATTCCCAAACATGTCCAGGAGAAGGTAATTCTGTCAAAGATTTTATTTGAATTATGGCCCTTAACTGTCAATGTTTTGTATTATAGGCAAGCACTAAAAAAGTCGAGCGCGCTGTCTTACGGACAGCTCTTGTTCAAAACTTTCTTATAAGTATGAAAGCAAAAAAAAAACCAACTTTTACATAGCAAATGGCATATAGCTATATTATGAAGTCTCATTGCTTTATAAAAATTAAACGACTTCCAGGACATGTATAAATTAAACAGCTATTTTTCAGTGGTATCATTATATGACTGCTAATAGCTGAAGATGTAAATATGTATAAACCAACCTATCAGATTGTTAGGCCAAGGACATTACACTTGTTCTGTTGTTCTGAACTATTTACTTAAGTAAGATTTTATATCATAAGTAATTAATTTTCTTCAGGTAAAGGTTCCGATTTCTTTTTTAATTATGAAACTTGATAAGTAAGACAAACAGAATGATTTTTCTTAGGTTACAAAATGAAAATACATAAATATTTCTTTTTCTTTTTTTTTTTTTTTTTTTTTTTCTTTCTTTTTTTTTTTATGATATTTTTATTTTGTTACAAAATGAAAATTGAGAAATGATCTACACTATAATTAGTTCTAGTTGACTACATGTATTATAAATACAATTTTTTTTACGACGAGAGTAGAAAATATTAATCTTTACCATGCTAAATATCTTAAATGAAACTTGACCATCTTTCGATTTCATTATTTGGACAAAACCATTTATCATTTTAGGAAATATTTCAAAATAACTACTTATAGTGAACTGTGTAGACCATGATCACCATGGTGTTGCTGTCAAACTTTGGTAAGTGAGGCGTCCGTGGCCGAGTGGTTAAGGTCGTTGACTTCAAACCACTTGCGCCTCACCGCTGTAAGGTTAGAATCCCAACAGGGACTTTGGATCTTTCATGTGAGGAAGCTATCCAGCTAGCTTTTGGAATGTCAGTGGATCTACTCAGGTGCCTGTTCGTGCCTGAAATAATGCACGGAAGGGCATCTGAGGTCTTCTTCCACCAGTTAAGTTGAAATGTCCCCATATGACCTATACTGTGTCTGTGTGACATAAAACCCAATTAAACAAACAAACACTTTGGTAATTTAAAAGGTTTTTGCATGCAAGTTGGTATCTCTAAAACTACTGAAAGGAATGGGTTGAAATTTCACACACTTGTTCTCTGTTGTTATTTTCCATGATAGGCATAGGTCCCATGACTCTGAGTAACGTTTTGGTTTGCCCCTTCTCTTAAATGATCACTACCCCATTGTCTGTTTGTCTGTCTCATCAATGTAGTCTGTCTGTCTGTCTGTCTGTCTGTTTCATCAATGTACGGACTTTCTTATCAAAAATTACAGGTACAATTTCATCCAAAACTTTACAGGAATGATCATCACCAAGTTTTGCTAGTTGTGCATATCTTTGGCATTTTCCAGTTCGTTTGTTTTTGTCAGAGTTGTGGCCCTTTATCATCTTACTGACATTGTTGGTTTACAAGTGTTATTATTGGAAAATGATGACTTAAAAAGATAATTGTTAACACAAATTATTGATGTGTATTTATTACATCCTATCAATTTGATAGCTGAGTGTTATTACATCCTAATGTTTAGCAAAAAGTAAAATTTAATAAGATATACTGTAATTATATTATTGTTAACTGTATTATATGTAATAATGCTTTAAAGATGGATTTCAAATCTATATTTATTATCAAACACTGGTTTTGTTGAATATATTTAGCAATGTGTAACTTACTAGTATGTCTTGATAACTAATGGAAAATAAAATAGAAAGTTGAAAAGGAGTAAAATCTATATTATTTATACTCAAAAGTTTTTGTTCATCTTTAGACTCTTTATGTTCTGTCTTTTAGTATCTGAAATTATTTAATTATAAAATGGAGGTAAAAATGATTGTATGGTAACATTGCCTTGTATTCAAGGCAGAGTGCATTTTGTTTATTCAATTGTTTGTCTAAGCATGCGTCATAATTTTTGTTAAAATTTATATTTCCTTTCCTGCTGTTTTAATTCTAGCGGCTTTAAATTATGATGGTCATACTTTGATTAGTGGTAACGGTAGCGCTTTTAAACAAATGATTAGTAGAATCCCTGAAAATATTCACCATGGACCTCTACACACTAAATACCAGCCTTAGAATCCTTCCCGTAAAAGCATTTCTGCACTGTTCTTTGTGTATACTGTTTATACACTGGTAGAGGGCGCTTCCGATGGCACTACGGGTTTCGAACCGGCGATTGCGAATACAAGATTTGATGTGTGGATTTAACTAGAAGTCACAAGGTCAAGGCACAAAAAGCAGCTTACACTGTCGAGTACGGACCCGGACATGTCACCAGTCATGCCCATAAAGAGTTATTTTGAAGCACAAAGTGGTGATAATTTACCTCCATGCACGGAGTATTAAGCAAAGGTATGAATTTTGAACCAAAAGTAGGTCACTGTACGACGGTCAATGTATGAGAATTTAAATGTACAGTAACCTGAGACAATAAGAAAGGAGGTAGCCCTTAAAATGGCTGTTGGTGCCAGCAAAAGGGTCTGCCTTACAAGCCCTCTATCTGTGATAGGGGCTCGCGCATTATGGATATGTTACTATCTTTGCTGTCAGAAGCCAGCGTTTATTTATCCCATTTAAAGTCATTTATAAAGGACAGTGTTACCATTTAATATCGTTCATTATTCCAGGCATGAGCGGGCACGCCTTCCGTTAGCTTGGCTGGATTGCTTCTTCAATCATGCGAAAAAAATAACGTACCTTCCACAGAAGCGAGGGACAAGTGATTTGAAGTTAGCAATCTTTATAAGGCCTCAGCCCTCTTTGCACGTGCATGGGTGATGTCATTGATGTTCTCCGACGAAAACAAATTCGCGATGAACAGGATTTGATTGATTGTTAACGTGGTCATATTATACTGATGCAAGAATTTGTGCGATTTGAGAAAGAAGTATACTACGGAACACTATAATGTTTTATATTTTTCTTTTTTGTAATGCATCCATTATTCAACTGCAACACCCCAGTTTATGCTATTTTTACAATGTTTTGCCTCGCCCATTGCCTCAGCATGTCTTGTAGGCTTACATATAACATGGTATTGTACATATATAATTATTATCTTCAAAATTAATGGCAAAATATATGTTTAATTCATAAAAAAATATTACTTTTATTTTCCCAGTGGCACGGATTAACTATTTAATATCATACACAAGGAACATTAAGCGTGGGTACACTCTAAGCAATGTATTGTAATATTTTACTTTTGTTGATAAACACGAAAGAATAGCATTAATATTTAAAGATTTATATACGTAAGAATACGCCTGTTTACGCACTAAATATTAGTATACAACATGTAATATTTAAGAGTACAACAGGATTTAACTTGTTGTTATCCAAGTGTTATTGCATAAAATACTATAAAATTAAGAAGCCATTTAAAGTGGTCTTGAGCAATATAAAAGGAATACGTATATTCTCATTATCCCCATCCGGACTGTCTATACTTTGATGCGTTACTCTATAGAAGGTATACCTAGAAAAATATTTATAATATAATATAATATTTTATATGACATTATATAATATGAGGGTCTAACATAACTCCGTAAATTCACCAAATGATATTTGCACTCGTGCTCGGTATATTTGTTTTAAATAGATACCGAGCTGATACATTAATTACGGTTAAATTTTGTGTACAAAGTCTTATTCCTGATATTTTGCTGTCTTACTAATCTATCTATATCAGTATCTCTCAAATACAAAAGACCCTGTCTATATGTTCCGTGTTGTTTTTATATCTTTTTTTTTTCAAAGTAGGCCATACGTTTAGATGTAAACGTGGCATGACATGATAAACTTTTTTTATTGTAAGTCCGTTCGTAATGATTGCAGGATAAATTCATTTATCACATGCTCGAACCGTTTTTATGTTGGT